CATTCAACACTAACGCATAAGAAATCTCTAGCATGTCACAAGATCTCAACTTGAACTCCAGATCGATAACCGACCAATGTGAGAAAGAATCAATCAATGTACATCTTTCTCTTTATGCATGCTTAACTGTAGTAGCTGACGAGAATGAAGGCAAGATGGCACGAATGGCTGGTCTGATTGAACAACTCGTCTAGACGGGCTGCTTGAGCTGATGGGTGTTGGGGGGTGTTGTTGCGTCAACATGGAGAGACGTGGGGGGAGGGGCGGGGGTTGCGTCAACATGGCTATATGGGGGTTCAAGTCGATAACGCTTGTTGTAAAGTGTAATTGAGGATGTTACGCGCCTGTCTGACAACAGCTGAGGCATTAATAAAACGCATGGAGACACTCCAAATTTGAAATTAACATTTTATTGATAAACACTTTAATTGAACACTACAGAGTAAGAATAATTGAAATCATTGAGAATATTAAAACTGGATAGGAATTCTGGGTAAACACTCATGTGCATCACAACAGGGATAGCTTTATCACTCCAGCGATTTCAAATTGATCTCAAACAATGACATTTTTAAAATTATTTATATTTTTATAAACGTTTTTTCTTTGTGTAATAGGTACAAACAAAACAAGAAAAAGTGCGCTATGGATTGGAACGATATAATTCACATCAATGTGTTTGACAAGTGAACCGTCGGTGCTTATCATGTGTAATGCAAGTTTGTGTAAGCACTTGAAAGAATGACCCACCACAGTAGACATTGACTCGGCCGACTTCAAACCCTGACCCTTGTACGTTCAATGACACTCACGAATGGGTACAAAACATGAATATAACACTTTCCTAGCTGACATCTCCTCTCCTCATCGATTACCTCATCAGGGAATATCGGAAACCAATCGGAGGCGGTAATGACTGATCTTGTAGATTACACCCCCCGAGACAGACTGACAGGGATCAATCACGTGATGTCACCATACACGCGCACCTACAGAGACACAGGATGGTGCACAGCACATGCATGGCTTGTATTTATTACTCGTGTGGCGTACACAAGGGGCAGCGGTCGTGGGTTTATTCCATCCATTCCATCTACCACCTTCAAAACAACCACTGTGGGGTTTTTAACCTCTCATTTCATTACAAGCTGTGAGTGGAATGCAGCTGAAGACAGGTGCATGAGCGTGGTACCATTCCATGCTAAAGTCAGGAATGTATATATCTGTCACATACACAACGCTAGTCAAGAATATATATCACATAAACGACCCTAGTGTCATGAATGTTGCATAAACAACACCGAAGTCATGAATGTATTTCTCATACCAACAGCACTATACAGTAAAGAATGTATTATCAACACTAGAGAGTCCTGAATGTATTCCTCATATCAACAACACTAGAGAGTCCTGAATGTATTCCTCATATCAACAACACTATAGAGTCCTGAATGTATTCCTCATAAGAGAGTCCTGAATGTATTCCTCATATCAACAACACTAGAGAGTCCTGAATGTATTCCTCATATCAACAACACATATAGAGTCCTGAATGTATTCCTCATATCAACAACAATACAGTCCTGAATGTATTCCTCATATCAACAACACTATAGAGTCCTGAATGTATTCCTCATATCAACAACATACAGAGTCTAATGTATTCCTCATATCAACAACAATACAAATGTATTCCTCACATCAACAGCACCAGAGAGTCCTGAATGTATTCCTCATATCATCAACACTAGAGAATGTATTCCTCATATCAACAACACTAGAGAGTCCTGAATGTATTCCTCATATCATCAACACTAGAGAGTCCTGAATGTATTCCTCATATCATCAACACTAGTCCTGAATGTATTCCTCATATCAACAACACTATAGAGTCCTGAATGTATTCCTCATATCATCAACACTACAGTCCTGAATGTTCCTCATTCCTCATATCATATCAACAACACTAGAGAATCCTGAATGTATTCCTCATATCAACACTCGAGTCTTGAATGTATTCCTCATATCATCAACACTAAAGAGTCCTGAATGTATTCCTCATATCAACAACACTAGAGAGTCCTGAATGAGTCCTGAATGTATTCCTCATATCAACAACACTAGAGAGTCCTGAATGTATTCCTCATATCAACAACACTATAGAGTCCTGAATGTATTCCTCATATCATCAACACTAGAGTCATGAATGTATTCCTCATATCAACAACACTAGAGAGTCCTGAATGTATTCCTCATATCATCAACACTAGAGAGTCCTGAATGTATTCCTCATATCAACAACACTAGAGTCCTGAATGTATTCCTCATATCAACAACACTATAGAGTCCTGAATGTATTCCTCCTATAAACAACACTAGAGAGTCCTGAATGTATTCCTCATATCATCAACACTAGAGAGTCCTGAATGTATTCCTCATATCAACAACGCTAGAGAGTCATGAATGTATTCCTCATATCAACAACACTGGAGAGTCATGAATGTATTCCTCATATCAACAACACACTACAGAATGTATAATGATGTCGTATAACAGCAGTCTTGTATATGTTGCATAACAACACAAGAGACACGATTGGATGGGTCAGCAGCACTGGCTCCACGCTTTTAGACGTCCATAAGGGGTCCACTTGTGCACTGACATATGTCATTAAGAAGACATAAACATGCTACAGCTGTCTTCACGTCACCTCCGTGTAACATGACACAACATATTGTTGCATACACTGGAAGACCCCCACCCCCAGCCCAAGCACACAGATATATATACTATATATATTACAAGCAGTGGTTTTACCACGTCCAAGGCAGGATACTCGTTGTTCTATACCATCAAAAAAGAAGGAATCAAACATCAGAGAAAGGAAACTCTGGTGTATGTGGCAACTGAAACCCATGTATCGAGATTATGGATGAAGTTTACTTAAATAACCAAACGTATTTAGAATGTACCCCCGTCATTGTACCTTTTGTGCATATATTTGTAGTTTATGGAACATCGTTTTTCCATGGAATGCTATGCAATAAATATCTGATCCTATCACGTTTTGATAGCATATATGAGAATGATATTCATGGCGACAGGAATCATACTAGGATCATTAAATGTAATTGTTGATGGCGATTATGATCATTATGAAGGCGAGGATCCACAACAGTGGTTACTTTTGATCCACCACCGAGTGTTACTTTCGATCCTCCAATGAGTGTTACTTTGGATCCACCACTAATTGTTACTTTGAATCCAGTAGCGAGTGTTACTTTGGCGCTGGTCATCGCCGTGCAATACACTTCCTGAGACCCAGTCAATATGACCTACATAGTTATTGGTGGATGATGTTCACCCGTTTACTGTTAGCAGCCTCACGCTGAACGAGCCCGCCCGTGTAAGTACCGTTAGCGCCTTCCTGAATGAACTCATCTGAGCAACATCATTGCACGAAAGGTCAATAACGCCTCCATGGATACTTCCCCATCTGCTAGACATCACTGCCAGTCAACCAGATACTCATATTCCTACCAACACACGCGCATGTGCGTACGTGTTACCACGTTGTGACGAGTACAACGGTTTCTATCTCTAGTGGTCTCGGCGTGATATAGTGTTGTTGTCATGGGCAACACTTCGCTGTTGACCTTTCCAACTATGACATCCCAACTATACCTTCCTCTTCATAAATCAATGTCCATCAGACACCACACACCCTCTGTCTGACCTTCTTGACCACTCCTCATTGGATGAGATCTATGGTCCTCCACACACGTCCAGCAAGGGCCGTTTCAGGTATTCGTGAAGAATGGACATTTGACATGTAATTATTGAGTTTCATACTCAGCATCGGTAACATGTGTTTGTAACGGAAGAAAGTCATAATTGACAGTCCAGTACATGGGTCAGTTATTCGAGAGGAAATGACCATGATAGATGTAAATAGTAAGATGTAAGTACTGAGTTACAGTATCAACGTCTGAAACATATGTTTGTAACTGAAGAACGTCATGTCCTGACAGCCCAGCACATTGGTCAGTTGTTCGAGAAGAGGCCATGTCAGTTAAAGAGTTAAATAATCAACATTAAAAATGTTTGCAACTGTAGAACGTTATGCCTGACTGTCCACTACATAAGTTATTCGTGACCACGTTAGATGTGATTATTGAGTTACATACTTAACATCATAAAAAAGACGAACGTTATGCTTAACAGTGCTCCGAGCAACAGAGATTTAATCGTTGAAACATTTTATTTTAATTAAACCCATCTGCGCATAAGGAACGATAACTACCTTTGCACTAACACTACATGAATCAATAGCAGGCAAGTCATCAACGACACCCTCGTTCTCTATCAATGTTAATACCGCTATTCAATAACGATCAATAAGTTGGTTGCCAGTTGCATATTTTGATGAATGTAACTATAAAATACCAAGGACGTATATCACTCTAGCATTCGTTGACATCAATGGCGAACCTCTCTTTGGCTGAATAAACGCGAAGACCACAAGCTATTAGTAATTGTATTGTTTTACACAGACAATCGAACAGGGTAATCATATTGATAGCCGATATTGCTTCCGAACAATGGTATCGGCTGTCAGTGTGTTCAATCCTATTTCGGAAGCAACACGTCATTTATTAATTACTACGTTAGGTTAAATACATATCAGGAGCTCCACCCAATGTCCAAGTCCTAGTATTTGGTCCACTTGACTCGTATTCGATTGCACTACTTCCGCTAGAAGCCTAAGGCCACCCCACATCCTGCTATTGGAATGAACCAATTATACCACCCCTGCCCAATACGACTCAGACTGCGACAAGAACTTCAACAAGACTCCCGCATTTCATAATGTAAACACCTCACTTGTATCACATGATATATGCGCTTGAGTGTTTGGTTATAACAATAACATTCTCAGTTCAAAGACACAGCGTGCGGATACTAGAAACGGCGAGCGTTAAGTACTAGAAACCACTTACTGGGTGCCTATTTGGGTACATCTTGGACGGTAAATCCAGCCCGCGATGAGAAGGGCGCCTGACCGCTGTGAATATTCCTCGATCTGGACCGGGTAATTTCCGTATCAAAAAGCCACTATCCAAGTCTCCGTTGCTTGAACTGCCAAGTGGCGTTTTTCAGACCTCTCTCGAGACGGCAAGCTATATTCCACTTGCGTAAACAGCAAGCAGAACAAGGGCAAGGGTCACGCTATCATCACCCGCATTGCAACATTATGGGTCACTCTCAGCTGCTTGTAAACATAGCCGAATCGGGTAGTCTGGCCACCCTGTACTAATCAATTGAGGTACATCCAACGCTTTCCTCGCCCTCTCAGTGCCAGAATGCTTGTTTACCGTGCACAATACCTCTGCAATATCGAGCACTCCGATAGAAAATGCCGTGTGAACAGGCTGTTAAGATACCACACACATGAACGTAATCCGCCACAGCGCATTAGCCCCAAGTTACAATGCCAGTCAGCAAATAGAACTCTCCATATAAGGGGACGAATGATTGGCCCTATCAACAAACACTGCCATCTTCCCCAAGACCCACGTGAGCTCATTACATATGCGTGTAGTTCCCACACATTCAGCCAGTGGTGTGATAAGGGCGGGTTCTTGTTGTGGAAGTTGTGAATAATCAAACATAATGTGTGAATATATTACTGTCACTCAAAGTAACGTGATTTGTAGGTTTCTTGTGTGAATCGATATGCTTTGGGGGGTATTTTTTACAAGTATTAGACAACTTGTCATAATTTGATTCCGTTTGCAGCGGTGAAGTTGTTTAGATTTTTACTTTGACAATGCTTTAAAAAGATGTTTACCTTCTAGGTCTCGTTTACAATTAAAAAACCCCACCATGGACGGTCTCCTCGTGTATGCAGAATCTTGAGCAATACGACAATGCTCTTTCCAAAAACTACGTATCTGAAACAAGTAACGTTCCAAATATCAATTTTAAATAGTTTCTAGAGTGCGTTTCTTTGAGTCAGTTTCCAGTGTTTACATTCTGTTCCTCGACGCGCTCTGTTCTAAACCGAGAATATGATTGGCTGGTTCCGTGTCTACTCCACGTGATTTTGAGATGTACTTGACAGCTAGAGACCCCGCCCTCTCACCAAAAAACCGGGTTATACGAAAAGTGTGCTCGGATCAGTAGTGGAAATCGGATTAAATTTGCTGATAACTCAAAATCGGTTTGAAGGCAGGTCTCTTCCAGTGACACACACCCTCCATCGTGACCTAGAAGAACTGGCTATCTTTAAGACACATTGACGAATATGCTAAACAAAACCAACTCCTTGTTTGAACTTGTGCCCTGATCCCCTCTAGTGAATGATTTGGAGATTCGAGCCAGTGTTAGTTGAAAAACAGTAATTGTGTACCTGCACAGTGGAACACTAATAACAAACTAATTAAAACATAATTAATTGTCGACTGAGAAAAAATATGTAAAAAGTAGGTCAGTCAGATTATTGCATTTACTTGCTTTTGTACAAACATGGAGAGGATCATAAGAAAGGGGTTCGTGCAGTTGAATCATCCTTTGCATTCAATTATCTCGATAAACGATTATTTTGCTGAGGCAATGCCAGGTAAGACGCAATGAAGTGTCATATTTCCAAACATTACATGTATTCTAATTACATATACTTTCATGTTTGAACCAACTTGCAGTCTGTTTTTTAAAAGAGCTATTTCGTTTAATGTGACATGACACACTGAATGGGAGTTGCGTCGTGCATACATTGCACAGCGGCAGCGGAACTGTTCTTGGTTCCCCTAGATTGCGCTACAGTCTGGCTGCTTAGTGATTAAAGCATTCGCCTGTCAGTTCGAAGACCACAATTCTTTCTCCCATTCCTGGTGTCCCCCGCCTTCAAAACTTTCAATTGTCGCTTATGATGCCGAAAAAACCCTCACTCACTCACGCACACACGCACGCACGCACGCACGCGAGCACTCACTCACTCATGTCCATGCCTAATAACTGACACTCCGGATCGGGAAAAAGAACTAATCATACAGCTGTATTTGGACTAACGCCTAGGCTCTGTAAATATATAATTTTGACTGACTGAGTTTGTTTTTACGCCGCTTTTAGCAATATTCCAGCAATATCACGGCGGGGAACACCAGAAATGGGCTTCACACATTGTACCCATGTAGGGATTCGAACCCGGGTCTTCGGCGTGACGAGCCAACACTTTAACCACTAGGCTACCCCACCGCCCCATATAATCTTGAACTGAAACTCCACGAAATTGATAGGAGCCCAGATAAAGAAAATCTAGACTTGTTTCATTTATAACTTTTAACTTACAGTAGAGGATGGTTGGAACGGTAAAAATAATATGGTTCAGGGACTGTGAGACAGTCTGTTATGCGAAGGTCATAAGGAGAGACGATTATTATTCCCCGGACACACGAAGATGGTAAAAGATGAACTGATGTAACCTTTCCACACAAAGAGCATAATCTATCAATGTTGCAGCACTGTCTTCTTCGTTAGGATTCTTGGTTATTGACAATATTCATTTACATCCAATATCATTTATATTACAGATTGCTCTCCAAGTGGAATGTAAAGCTTTATCCTAAATGAACAAACACAAGCCTGAAGTACACAATACTTCATTTATTATACCACTTTGTACAACACCTTATATAGATTTCCAGACCGACGTCACAGTCTGTTCTGAATACTTGTTCATTTAGAAAACACGAATTTAGGTTGTTACCTCATATATCACTCGAGACCCGTCAATGATTCTTTGTTCGTTCTTTGTCGCATCATTCCTACTTTTATATCAGCTCAATACCTTATCAGCGAAGGGCGTCTGTTACAACAAGTCTTGTGAATAAAACTGTCTTTTCCAAATGGATAACCATCAATTTCTGACATGATCGTAAAGAAGTATGAAACTAGGTCGATTCCCATCAGCCTCTGAACAATGATTTGCGTCCTGTCTGCTTTTTGAAAGCACAATACAATATCGAGGTATTTCTATGATCTAAAATCGACAGCTCAGACACGCGTATTTGATTTCAGTATTCCTGTTTACCATCGACCAAGTCTCAATAGTCAGTGGGCGAAACAGCACGCGCCACCACGAGCTTCTAATTGCAACATTTACATTGGATATCGATTTCAAACACACATAATATAACATATCGCCTCGGCGACCTGTTCGTCGCTGTTTGCTCAATTTTCAAAACAGCTTTCCAAATATTAGCTTTTCCGCGAAATGCATATAGCCTGTCATTTCAGATTTGTCTTGGTCCAATACACCGACCAAAGGGAACTCGTAAGATAATTTAAATCGTGGCTTTTTGTTCTCAACTAGCTGACCCCAAGCATATAGAGAGTTGCGTTGAGCACCCATACAGAGTGGATGGTTGTGATTCGATATTTGTATGTTGGCAGCAGTTGGTTGGAAAATTGATTAAATCTTTATGTCTATGTGACATCACATCTCGACGCTTTAGCTGAATTAATCACAGCGTTTGCTCGCTGTAATTGTGTCCCTTCACCGGAATTGATCAAGCTAATGGTCAAATCTGGCTAGTTCTTAATTAATCTCGCTGGTCAATAATAACTGACCATACACGAACAGCGTTCACTCTTTGATGGACAGATATAGGTCGTTAATAGTCCCATCAAATCTCACGATGACAGACTTGTTAGTATAGCTAATGAAATTCCCATAATTCATTTGCAGAAAAAAATAAAACCACAGAATGAGTCCACGAGCACCATGAGGGTATAAATGGAAAAGAAAACATTTTTATATTGGATAAACATCAATTCTCACAGCCAGATGTAATGGGCCGTCGATACTTAGAAGTAACACCGCTTTATGTAAATAGAGGATGTGAAGATTCATGTCTACCGCCTCGGGAACGTACAATCTCTGAGAACCTGTGCATCTGAATTAAAGTTTTGTGAATTCACATTTTTTTTTTTAAAAGAGAGAAAAACCACATGTAGAAATGTAGCATATATAAAATGAAAGTTCTCCTGCATTGATTTGGACATGGGTACAGAAAATACTCCACTCTCCGTAAAGTTAAGTTGCACCATTGTCTGGTTGGACAAAGTCCGTTAACATCTCGTCGCAGGGCCATGCATAATGTAGTATCATATTTTTAATCTTTGCATTTACGAGGTATTTGACGTGGTGAGAACGTCTACAATTTGAACCAAACGTGGTAGGTACATCACAATATGAACACAACGTTTAGGTACGTCTACAATATGGACTAAACGTGGAAGGTACGTCTACAATATGAACTTAACGTTTAGGTACGTCTACCATATATGGACTAAACGTGGAAGGTACGTCTACAATATGAACACAACGTTTAGGTACGTCTACAATATGGACTAAACGTGGTAGGTAGGTCTACAATATGGACTAAACGTAGTAGGTACGTCTACAATATGAACTAAACGTGGAAGGTACGTCCACAATATGAACTAAACGTGGTAGGTACGTCTACAATATGAACACAATATGAACTGAACGTGGAAGGTACGTCTACAATATGAACACAGCGTTTAGGTACGTAAACGTGGAAGGTACGTCTACAATATGGACTAAACGTGGTAGGTAAACGTGTCTCTACAATATGAACTAAACGTGGTAGGTACGTCTACAATATGAACTAAACGTGGTAGGTACGTCTACAATATGAACACAGCGTTTAGGTACGTCTACAATATGAACTAAACGTGGAAGGTACGTCTACAATATGAACTAAACGTTTAGGTACGTCTACAATATGGACTAAACGTGGTAGGTACGTCTACAATATGGACTAAACGTGGTAGGTACGTCTACAATATGAACTAAACGTGGAAGGTACGTCTACAATATGAACTAAACGTGGTAGGTACGTCTACAATATGAACACAGCGTTTAGGTACGTCTACAATATGAACTAAACGTGGAAGGTACGTCTACAATATGAACACAGCATTTAGGTACGTCTACAATATGGACTAAACGTGGAAGGTACGTCTACAATATGAACACAGCGTTTAGGTACGTCTTAAATATGAACTAAACGTGGAAGGTACGTCTACAATATGGACTAAACGTGGAAGGTACGTCTACAATATGAACTAAACGTGGTAGGTACGTCTAAAATATGAACTAAACGTGGAAGGTACGTCTTAAATATGAACTAAACGTGGTAGGTACGTCTACAATATGGACTAAACGTGGTAGGTACGTCTACAATATGGACTAAACGTGGAAGGTACCTCTACAATATGAACACAACGTTTTAGGTACCTCTACAATATGAACTAAACGTGGGAGGTACGTCTATAATATGAACTAAACGTGGTAGGTACGTCTACAATATGAACTACACGTGAATGGTACGTTTACAATATGAAATTCACGTTGTGAATATGAGGTGAGGTGAGGTGAAA